TAGGATTTCCTCAACTTCCCACTCCTCTTCACCCTCGATTTCGATTGCTGGTGGCGCTGTCTCTACTCTTTCCTTGATGGCGTCTGGTGAGTGCTTCCTCAAAACTGATACATGGAATACTGGATGGACTTTACTCATGCTTATGGGTAACGCCAGTTTATACGCCGAGGTCAAAACTTTCTTGACGATACTGAAGGGACCTAACCACCGATGGTCGAGTTTGCTACTAGGTCTTGTAGTTCATATATTACGGCTATTCAACCACACTTCATGATCACCTATCTTCCAATTGGATGTAGGCCTTGTGTGAGTATCATGATTCTTTTTCATAATTTCTTGGGCTTGCATTAATGATTCTTTTAATTCGTCCTGTACTTCTTCAATAGTCTTCAGTCGCTCTTCCACAACCGGGATGCACCTCTCAGTCGATGGGATCCTTCCAAACGATAGGTCATATCCCACGTTGGCTTTGAAGGGCAATACACCTGTGGACAAATGTGTACTGTTATTATAAGTAAACTCAGCAAGCGGTAAGTGCTCTTCCCAATCATTTTGTCGGTAAGATATGAAATGTCTCAAATACTGCTCTACGGCTTTGTTAACAATCTCCGTCTGTCCGTCTGTCTGAGGGTGATACGCCGTCGACGGGTGCAGCTTGATGCCCAGTTGGTTGTTCAGTGATTCGGTGATTTTTGACACAAACACGCTCCCTCGGTCAGATACGATTGTCCTAGGTAAGCCGTGCAATTTCCATACATACTTCAGCATCAGTGTAGCGAGCTCTTCTGAATTCATTTCTGTCGTGCATGGTATGAAGTGCCCCATTTTTGTAAGGCAATCTACAACTGTCAATATACAGTTCTTACCGTTTGACAATGGAAGTTCTGTAATGAAGTCATAGCTGACGTCTGTCCAAGGCCCCGCTGGTATAGGTAGCGGTTCCAGCGATCCGAAGGGTACTTGGTTTGATGGTTTTACTCTTAGGCAAGAGTTGCACCCATCAACGAACTTGTTAACGTACATTTTCATGGATGGCCAGTGGTATTGTCTCTGTACCAAGCTCAAGGTCTTCATCCGTCCTGGGTGACCCGCCAAGGCACTGTCGTGTCGACTTCTCAGGATCTCAAACTTACAGCGACTATCGTTTGGGACTTCTATCAGGCCATCTTTGTAAAGTATACCTCCATGGACCTCATAACCCTTAACTGCATCTTATAACACCTTTCCCTTCATTGTCTTCACTACTTTCATTAAGTTTTCAATACGTGAGTCGAGTGGCGATTGTTCCCGTATTCTGTCGAGTATGGCTTCATCAGTCCAGACAGGTGAGTCTTGCGTTCTTTCAATAGCGTCAATTTCAATTGTTTCTGGCGTTGATTCCATTACGTCTTGCTCAAACCAGTCCTCCACCTCCTCAAACCAGGCCTCAATGCTGTCTAGGTCGGCGTTGAACGAAGACTCAGATAGGTTCTCCGGTCGTAGAAGACTCCCGAATGATAGTTTCTCATCCTGTGTCGGTTCCAAGTCTGGTCTCCTCGATAAGGCATTGGGTTTGGTCGAATCTCGTCCTGGTCGGAATCAAATATAAAAATCGAAGCATCCTAATACCTCAGCCCACCTAGCCTGCCTCCTTGTGAGTTGCTTGGTTGTCATGAACGTCTCGAGGTTCTTATGGTCAGTAAATACCGTAACTTCTAGTCTGTTTGGATTCCCCTCTAAGTAGTGCCTCCATTCTTTGAAGGACGCTACTACAGCTAACAACTCCTTATCAAAAATTTCATAGTTTTGTTCAGCCTGGACTAGAGATCTCGACAGGAATGCTACTGGGTGGAGAACCCCTCAATCGTCGTTTTGGGAAAGTACTACGCCCAAGGCGTAGTCCGAACAGTCACACTCAAGAATAAAGGGCTTATAGGGATCCACAATTCTCAGTATCGGTGCCGTTGTGAAGGAAGTCTTTAGTGTTTGGAACACATCTTCTCGCGATTTGGTCCACACGAACAGTTTTTCCTCACAAGTTAAGTCGTGTAAGGGTCGTGTCACTTTTGAAACATTCTTGATGAATCTTCTATAAAATTTAGCAAACCATAAGAATTGCTGAACTTGGGTTACATTTGCAGGTGCAGGCCAGTCGGTGACGGCTGATACTTTCAATGGATCCATCCGTACTTTATTTTTTGAGATCAGTAGTCCGAGGTAGTCAATCTCTTTTCTTGAAAACTTGCATTTCTTGGGCTTCAACCAGATACTGTGCGACTCAAGTATTTTCAACACTTCTTCGACAACACTCTCGTGGTCAACTCCCGCTGGCGTGTATATCAGTAGTTCATCCAGGTAAGCGGCTAGATCCTTTCCAATCCTGTCTCGAAATATGTCGGATATAAAAAATTGGAAGTAGCCGGGGGCTCCCGTCGGCCCAAAGGGCATTACTAGTGGTTCGAATTGACCTCTCTTGCAGATGAAAGCTAACTTTTTCTCATCTCCTTCCCACACCCGCAGATTGTTATAACCATTGCGCATGTCGAGGCTTGTGTAATTCTCGGCATCTTGCAGGCTGTCAATTAGCTCCCTGGTTAACAGGAGTGGGTAGCGGTTCTTCACAGTGAGTGCATTTAATTTCCGGTAGTCGAAGCAAGGACGGAGGTTACCATCTTTTTTTCCAGTAAACAAGACAGGTGCGGCCCACGGCGACGTTGTCCTACGTAGGGTTCCTTTGCTCAGTCCCTCATCAATCATGGTGTTGAGGGCAGTCTCTTCGGCAGGTGACAACGGGATCATTTTGCTGGCTTGCGGGGTTGCTCCTGGCACGAGTTCTACGCGGAAATCGTACCTTTGGCAGGGAGGTAATGTCATTGACTTCGTCTTTATAAACATGGAGATATATCTGTGATACTGGGTTGGGACGAGTTCTTCTGCTGACATCTCAATCTTGTCTTTTGAAGCTTCAGCCGCCAGTTTAGCCGACACGTTCCAGGATGCGTTGGCCGCGGCTATTGATGCGTCAAATCTAATCCCGGGGTGTAAAAGCTTGTGATCTGCTTCAACAACACTGGGAATGGGCGTATCGGACTCACCTCGCGGGGGCTTGATCTCCTGAAGTAAGAGAGCCCCCTCGCCAATTTTCCTAGCTTCCCCCTTCCGCACGCTGACATTATCCGGGGTGTTTGTCGGAGTAGGCGACACTTTGGGCTTTATCCGCTCCTCAGTGGCGGGTGCAGTTGGTTCCTTTGGCATTGATGTCTCGGGTATGGCTGGTAGGGTCTGAATTCGAAAAGGTAAAGGCTTGTCATCCGTGGCAAGGAGTAAGGGTCTGGGTCCATTATCGAACTCACCTTGCGGGGGTTTAACGCTAGCAATGCTAACAACCCCCTTGTCACTGTCCCAGGCTTTCCCCTTCCGAGCACATTGGCGATCCGGGGTGTTTTTCGGGCTAGACGATACCACTTCAAGGGTAGCAAGGTGATCGTGTTTTTCAAGTAAGTCGGTGTTGGATTGGTGGTTTTCGGTAGCAAGGTTGAGTGCTGCTATCTGAGTTGATTCTGACTTCGGGCGTAATATGCCGTTCTTCCAATCGATCCGGTGGCCGTTTTTCTTTAACCAGGGCATGCCAAGAATGGCGTCATACAAGTCCTTGATTTTCGTTACCAGAAATCGGGTCTTCTCTTCATCATTATCAATGTAGAGTTCGGCGTCGTGGGCAACAGTGCGTGGGGCACCGTTGAATCCATAGACATCACCTGTGGTCTTGAGTTTGGATACAGGTAGACCACTGCGCTCGACAAATGTGGTACATAGCACTTCATGTGTTGAACCACAGTCGATCAAAGCTTGGGCTGGGGGGGTCAAAGGTTTATGGGACGTGGCAAGGTGGGACTTGGAGAGGGAGATGGAGGTAAACACACGTGGGTCGGAGCCCTTGATTTCATGGTTGCTAACAGTATCTATCTCCCTCATCTCTTCATTCCTGCCTAGGCCCAGGGGTGGCACGTCCGTCACTGCGGAGCGCCTCCATTTTTTGACTCATCAGCAGCTGACAACCTGATTCTCTCCGTCTTCTCTCCTTCTAAAGCCGCAATCTTAGCCTCCAGTTCAGCAATCTTTCCTCCAACTCTTCCCTTATCACGACCCTTCCCCTTACACCATCTCGCTCTATGCCCAGACTTCCCACAATGAAAAGATAGTTGCTCCCCCACTCTACGTTGATACTCCTCTGACGAAATAGAAAACCTAGCTGATGATATATCCATCGCGTCCGAGGGTGCTGAGCGGGTTGGCGGTGTGTAAGTGCTGACTTCACCCCTTAATTCTCCATCAATTGCACACGCTAATCTTGTGATGTCTTCCAGCTTCTCAAATTGCTCCCGCACCATTGCTACACGAACATCTAATTTCAACCCTTGACAATAATGACTAATGAGAGTCGAAAGTTCCCATCCCGTGGTAGGCGCGAGTTGATTGAACTGAATTGTGTACTCAGCGGCTGACTTGGTTTGCTTCAGCGCACGTAATGCCTTCTCAGCGTGTTGCCGTCGTCGGAATCAAAAAACACAGCCTGGAATGCCTCGGTAAATTTGGCGAACGTGACAGGCTCCGATTCAGCAGGGTGTAGCGCCCGTCGAAGGAAAGGCTGCGCCCACTGGATAGCATCGCCTCCTAGGTATGACAACGCGAACATGACTTTTGTGGTGTCCGAGGTAAAGAGGCTGGCGTTTACCACAACGTAGAGTCCGACTTGACTCGCAAAGGCCTCTGCGGCCGCTCCTCGCGTGCCGGTAAATCGTTCAGGACGGGCGACTTGAATGCAAGTATTGCTGGTCACCGGTGGTGGTGGTACAGCAGCAACCATAGGGGTGGCGGTGGTGGTGGGTGCAGGACCGGGGTTTGTTGGTGGTGCTCGGGCTGCCTCGATCTGATTTAGTCGTGCTTCGGCAGCCTGACAAAGAGCGGTTTCCTCGGTGAGTCTGGCGTTCAGGTCCGCCATTTGCCTTGAGATTCGCTCCATGTCTTCGGCAGTTGCCATTGATGCTGATGGTTGTACGGGTTTGTCTAGTAGGGGATCGTACCAGGAATCGTCTTCTAACGACGTGAGGTCGTCTGATGGTACTTCGAATGAAGGCGTGGTGGTGATGATTGGGATTTGGGGATTACGTCAATGAACTAATGCGACTATCTATATATATACTTTTGTCTTCTTTCGTCTTTCTTTTCTTTTAATTTCTTCTTCTTCTAATGTCTTTTTGTGTCTTCTTTTTTCTTTCCTTAAAAATTTTCTTTCTTCTTTCTTTTCTTGCTTTCTTCTTCTTGTATAACTCTTCCTCTGGATTCTGTCTTGAGTTAGATGCTACAATATGTTACAACCGGGCTTGGGGGTCTTGCGTGTGGGACAGAGAGAGAGAGGATGATGGGTACTACGTAATATAGTTATTGTAGCATAGGGAAAAGAGCAAGTTGGAGACGCTCAGACTACAAGAGTGGGACTCAGTCCGTCCCCCTTTCACGGGTTGTGATATGCCCGCAGACCAGTGTCACAGATCATAACAAGCTCCTGGGGTTGATACCACAATGGGTTTAGTTCATGCTGATAAAGAATGGTGGGAAGCTTGGATCAAGGGGGTCAGTCTTTCTTTCTTCTTTCAATTCTTCTTCAATATTTCTTCCTTTTTTGTCTTTCTTTGTTTATTGATCTTTTTGCTTGTTTATCATCTTTCATTACTTATAGTCAGGAAACAAGGACACCATACCTATCAAGAATAATGGCTTTCCAGCTTACCAAGCCGTCTCAGCAATCATACCTGTGAAACATCTACAAGAAAATGGTAGTGGAGAATTTGGTACTCAAAGCAAGAAAAGAAAAGTGATTCCACCTGGATCCGATGATGAAAAAGAAAGTGAAAAAAATGGTTGGTTTACTTTCTTTTTCATCAGTTGGATCAAAACATTGAAAATTATCTGCTTTATCGCAGACTTGATTCCATCTGAATCTGAGTCCATCAAAAGGATGGCTACCAATCAAAGTAGCGAGGATTTGGAAGCCAAGCAAAAGCCATTCAAGGATGAGTACGTTAATGATAAGGCTGATGGGACTAGTAGTGAGTCGGATGCTCCCGCGAAGTCAAAGGGTAAAGCAGCTGCTGTTAAAACACAGAATGAAGTAAGTTCTCATTAAAAATATCAGACTATAATCAATCGAAGAAAATGGTACTGACTGGTTTTGCCAATCTTCAATACAGAAGAACATTTTTGCAAGGCATCTAAAAGCTGCTCAGCACCAATTTAACAACGATGAGGAGGAAACTCCTGTGATGAAATTTGTACGTAGCAAGATGGGACTGGCTGACAGAGACACATCAACATCAACTGCCAAAAGATATTGCACCAGTGGACCTAAGCTTGTTGCACAATCAATCAATCAAGCTGTTGAGTTGGATGAACAAGGCAAAAATGATAGAATTAAAATAGCAAAGATGAAGCTTGAGCAACACCCAAAACAAAAAGAGGCAATGGACATATTCAATCGTGGATGCAAGAAAGAACTCAAGCCAGAACACATCATCACGGTAGGCAACAAATTGAAGGATGATGACACAGCATCTTTCTTTTGTCACATGTCCAAGGAGTTTCAGTGATTGGTTCAGCAGTGAAGCCAGGGTATCTCAATTTTATCAGGACAAGTAAACCTGTTATATTTTCTTTCTATTTTATGTTTTTAATCTTATTTGTTATTGCAGATCATTTGTACAAGTTATATATAATATTATAGCTTAAATACACAATAGTTTAAATTTGTACAAGCGATATAATAAAACAATACAACTGAAATACAGAGACCATCTTAAATAGGAAAAGTTGATGAAATGATATCTTCAAAATGAAACAGGAAAACTTTCCAGATTCAAGTATTAAAAAATTACAATAAATCATACAAACATGTTGGCAAGCAGCAGGAGCATGTATGTGATCATAAAACATCTCCTCTGCAATATGATCACGCTGATCACTTGCTTGAGTGCACTGTGCAGGAGTGGATGCAACCCATGGTTGGGGTTGTCATCATCACGGGCCAACCTGGCTTCTAATCTTTCTTTTAAGGCGTACTCTTCATAAAAATTGTCCTTGCCAGATTCAAGTCGGATTATATTATGTAAGACACAGCAAGCAATCACAAACCTTACTTGGGTTTTGTAAGGAAAGGAGGGCATACAGGCTAAGATTGGGAATCACATCTTCATGATGCCAAAGATTTGTTTGATAACAATTTGAAGCACCAAGTGTTGGTGATTATATAATTCCTTCGCCGTTTGTGGTGTAAGACCTGAGTGCCTCCATTCCTTGAGGCGATATCCAACAGATCAATAAGGAGTCAGGAATCCTGGCACATTTGCATATCCAGCATCCACAACATAAAAGTGGTCTGAGAGAAGGAAAAAACAAGTCAAACATATGAACAATAATTGATATTATAAGTCACATACCTTCCGGAACAACAAAACACCCATATTCAAGTGCTTGATGAAGGACTCGAGCATCTGCATAAGAGCCTTCTAATCCTGCATACACAAAGGTAAATAGCATGTTGAAAGAACAACCTGCTAATACATTTTGGCTGATATCACCTTTTTGGTTTCAATGTGCTGGTTTACAATCCGCAGGTACAATACAAGGGATGTGGGTGCCATCAATAGCACCCACACAATTGTCAAAATAAGGAGTCATCCTTGGATTTGTCCGTATCTCTTTTGGACAAAGGCCATTTGCGATAGGCTGGACGATGTAGATGAATTGAAGAGAGGTGATGGCGTTGAGAACATCATTGGAATATCGGCTGATAGTGGCACCAGAACGCTAGAATTGTTCTCCAGCGAGTTGATTAGAGCCCGAGTTGCCAACAATGAATAGAAAAATCATCACTTGCTCTTCCACAGTCACACTCCTCTTGCGTTGGACAGTGAGCTTGCCTTCAAGGGCTTTGATTAAGCCCTTGAAGGAAAGTTTGTCCATTTGACACAACTCTCGAAACCGTACGTCACTTCCTTCTAATATTTCTTTTGTATATTGATTCCCACGGAGTTTGGACGTTTGACATGGAATCTTGCAAGCAGGGTTCAAGAGCTCTAGGAAAGCTTTTCCACCTTGAATAGCAATCTTGAGCAGGTTGCTTTTTCAGAACAATGTTGATGACCTTGTGGAGTTTGAGTCAAAGGAATCTGAATCTGACATTATTGGTGATGGTTGTTTGTACCATCACCAATCACGTTCTGTGCCCTGCTGACCTTAAAAGGTGAACAAAGCAAACACATTTCACATGCTTTTTGATGTCTTGCTTTCAAAAAGTGAAAATAAGACATTTTATGAAAAAAAAGACTTTTGCACATGTACGAAAGTGGTCACCTAGAAACTGCTTTCTAGAAAACCGGGCTAAGTGAACACACTTTAAGTCTCTGGAATGAAGATACGAATTGATGAGCTTAACCGGACAGGCCACAGATGTTTTGAAACATTGGACCATGACTGGAAAACCAGTAAACTCAGAATCACTTTTTGAGTATGCAAGGTATTGATGAATTTAAAACAAAATGAAAATTTGAATGAAGCTCAATGAATGAATTTTCCTTGAGTTTTATGATCTTGCTGAATCTGGAATAGCGATTTCATTCAACCAGTGTAAACCTCTACAAAGCCAACACTTGAATACAAAACCAAAAACAATCTATCATTTTGAGAAGAACCTGATTTAGAAACAGCTGATTTGATTTGACAGACAATAAGAGGTTCTTTTCTTTTGGCAGGTTTTGAATACAGTTCAAACAACCTTTCAAAGTTTTCTTGACAAGAGGACAATTATTTTGTCAAACAATCTGCACTACACCAGATGTGATCTTTTGCAAGCAGAAAAGAAAAGTCCAGGAATATATTCCTGTAGAAAACTGCCCACAACACAAAAAATGGGAGAGATACAAAGAAAAGTCGGACAGTTTTTCTGCTTGCTTCTTTATACTGCTCATATGTTTCCGTATTTTTCATTGTAATACCCTTTAGATGTACTAATGAAACAAGGTTTTTAGGCTCCAGAGTGCAAAAACAACAAGTTTTTGACCCAACCAAGGTAAGATGTTTACAGGCCACAATTTGGAGGCTAAAGAATATGTATCAATAGTACATCCACAAGGTATGTAAATGAAAAATACAAAAAAAATACAGGAGATTACAGTCACAACTAAAAAACTGATAGACCTTTCTATGTATTTTTGCCATTTCCTAGGTGCTGTGAGGACTTTCCTGCAGGAACACATGCCTGAAATTTTCTTTTATGCTTGGAAAAGATTACATTTGGTGTAGTGTCTGACTAGATATTGGGCTCCCAGCCGCCACATCATCATTATCATATGTAATATGTTCCTCCACTGCCCCCCTTTGGTTGTGAGGACCAAATGAAGCTGTGGTACCCCATGTTTCTGATATCAGATCTGTTGTAGTTCTGGGTAATGGGTCCGTCCAACTCTGATAATTTGTTATAGATTGTACTGTCTTCATTGCTACACCCACTTATGGCATCATGGCCTGGCATTGACGACACAGATGTTTAAAGACTGCATCAGTGATTATAAACTTGGTTTAGTGACTACATTATAATGTCTAACGTTTTGCTTTCAAATCCTTTGGAGTCAATTATCTGTATCATACACCCGAGTTTGCTCCTAACAAGATGATAACAAAGATTTGTGTTGTCTTAAAAATCTATTTGAATTCATGAGGTCCCCAATTGTATCACAAACTTACCAACCTTCAGATCCAGGTTTTTTGTTAACAGATTATTGTATGTATTACAGATCTATTGAGCTTCTCTTTACATTTACACTGGGAAATGCTTTGTAGATGTTGCACTGCACAATGAAGTCCACTACAATCACTAATCAGTCTATAAGCGGCTGTGTGTTGAGTATTTTCACCTCAGAATCATGACCGTCACTATTTTCAAACCAACCTTTTTCTGGTTGTTCTTGCATATCTCCTTATTTTCTGTAATAGACAATATTGCAAACTCCTCTTTCTGGCAAATTTCTGCAAGGGACTTTGAATTTGAATTCAAATATGAGTGATTGTGCTGCTAACATTTTCTTAGAAAGTATGTCATTGTTGATGGTTTAGTGGAATCTTAATGCAAATGAATCCATTGAAATCAGTATCTTCATCAGAATCTTAACACATTGTAATTGTGATTTGTTCCAAGATTAATTCAAAGAGTATGGATATATGACACAGTAAATTCCTATGCAACTTTTTCTTTTCACTTTTTGCTCTTGCTTGACCCACTGTACCCTGGTTTAAGTTTGTTCTAGCTTTGGCTAAGCCTGTTCTGAAAATTCCCCAGCGCCTACAACAAATGTGGTTAACTGGAAGGAAATTGATCAAGAGATGATGAACAAGTTGAAAATTATGAAGTCTCTGAATTGGGTCATTGAGCAGATAACTTTTGAGTAAATATATTGGTGTTGACATTGATGGGTTGTTTGGGTTAATGTGTTGGGTTGTATTTGAATTACTGAGCCGCTGTTTGGCTGCTTGTTCTCCTGAGGCCTTGACACAACTCATCAAGTCTTGTCCCTTTGTCTATGAGTAGACATTTGCCACTCAAAAGCCACACAACTGGAAAACAGTTGTGAACAGTATAGGGAGGGCCCTTTTCACAGGCACTATGAAATCAACCAAATGGCTTGGTTGAGGTTACAACAGCTGTTTATGCCGTAAGGGATTCTTCAACTATGCAAAAATTAAGAGAAAAAGTGATGATTGTTAAGTAAGAGGACAATATCAATAAGACCTGGATGATTGAGCTTGAAAGCAAGCTGCAGTGCCGGAGTTCCACTAGTAACACTTTTATCAGTCAATGGTGGATGGTGGATAACCTACTAAGATTGATTTCCATAACAAAAGTGTTTGCAATGCTCAAGGGTCTAGGAGACTTTGTTTCAACTGTGCTATGGTGAAGTGAACAGTCTGCTTTGGAATGATTGTGGCACTTAGCCTAAAAAAGGCTCTGCACTGTGTGACATTATTCACAACACAACACTGATTGAGAGGAATCAAAGGTTTGGCAGAAGCTATCCACAACAAGTAAGATGATTAATTTTTCTGAGTGATCTCATGTTCCAGACTCCAACAGGATCC